CTTGTTAAAGCTGAACGTTGAAGATGATAAGATTACATAGGAATTTCTACATACATATATATATAATACAGAGAAGAATATAACGGTATTTTATCTCTCAGAAAAGATCCTAAACATCGTGTAGTTGTGTCTTTGCATGCTGTGAGTAAAGAAAACGTGATTTAAGAAATCAATGGTATTATTTAAAACGATTAAAATAAAAATCTGTTTTTTTCTGATAATATTTGACCTTTGCTACAGCATTATTAAATCTCCGCGCACTTTCTTTTAAATATGACAAAATGGGGTTCTAAACAAATTTGATTAAATTTGAATGCTGCATTCCAAGTGATGTTGTGGATATAGATGTAATATTTGTTTCAATAATAATATATCTAACCCTATAAATTATATACTTTAACACTTCTTTATTAACCATAGCGTTTAATCCCCTTGGAGAAACAATACATCAATTTTTAGTGTGTTGTTAATTAGAGTAACTAATAGGAGTCCACCAGGGTAGTGACATTCACGCACTATTTTACAACATATCTTTACATGATATGACCATGTACAATATTGGCGCTCATTTGACAGAGTAATGCTCGTCTTATTGTCAAATAATCAGAAATAAGTTGAAATATATTTGAAGAATAGGCTACATCATCAAACAAAATTCGCTGAGGAGTGCAAAAGGAACATTTAAATAATGATACTGATAACATAATAATTTTGAGACCCTACGCTTCCTGGGAAGATGTGATGTGTTGGTGTTGAGGAGCAGACAGGAAAAGTGTCATGTTATGTTGTAATCTTTATTCGATGAATACAAATAATTTAAAGATAGGTTGTCAGACAACAAAACATACGTCCAAAGCTAGTTAGTCGCGTCCTGGTAGCCCATAATGATTGTGGTTCTTTGTCTCATTTGTCTGAATTGGTTTGTCTCACTTATCTTTACATGGTTGTCTCATTTATCTGGACATGTTTGTCTTATTTATCTGAACGTGTCATACACATTCTAGAGCATTCACAAGATTCTATAGGAAACGAGCGAGTGCAATAACTCTGGAAGTTATTGTCAATTTAGAAAAGATGAGATGATATTGGCTCTAAAGTTTTAACAAGAACTTATGGACAAAATATTATGGACGACGGGCCGACCGACCGACAGACTCGGATGACGGTAATGTACGGCAGCATTGCGAACCATGCATTTTCAATGCAATTTCAATAATTATTTCAACAACCGGGTAATACTAGGTTTAATACTAGTATCTGGTTTCAGGAATGACGAATCATGAAATTTTCAGAGATTTAGTGTATTCAGTGAATGTCGTATAGGAAGTTATTAGTTGTTAATCACCATGAAGTAAATTTCCTGATCAACTTATTTTCGAATGCTATTTCGATTACCTTTTAATTCAACTACAGCAAGAATATTTCATAATCAAAATCTATGAAAATCCGAATCCATGAAAAGCATAATGGAACCACAATTTGATTAAAATTTGATGTGTATTTAGTTCCGGTTAAAAAATTTTTGAACCGTTCCAAACACTTGGTAATCTTTTTGTTATTGTTCTTCTTATTGGGCGATACTCTTCATGATCGCAATGAGGAAGCCATGGGGGACAAGTGAGTAAGGTGCTGCCTCGCTAGCCTGGAGGTCGCGAGTTCGATCCTGTTGTTGGCCGAGAAAGTTCATCGGAATTTTCAGGCGTGGTTTTCCCCTGTCAGTGGTGCAGGACGGAGGGCCTGACAAGGACAGCTGCCTAGTCGTTCGGATGGTTAAAAAACCAAGGTCCCGTATACACATTGGCGTGCACGTAAAACATCCCTTGGCTGTTGGAATTCGTTATAAGAATAGGCCTATAGCGCCGCTGTCCGGGCACAATTTCCCTCGTAGCACACTGTGTGGCGTATACCCGTCGTCATTAGCCCAGTCGGGGCAGAACAGTTGGACGTTAAACCCGATTTCATTTCATGATCGCCATGAAACAGGGCATGGCGGACATCCAATTTGTATTTTTATATGACGTCAAAATTCAATTGTGGCAGCGGTGGTCGGTCCCCAGTTTATATTGTACGGTAAATGAATTACAAGTGTAACCAACATAAGAATAGAGAAATGAAGATCTAATTCTAATCAGACTGAAGAAACCAACTAAAACAGTCGCCTTGATCATTGAAATTATTTAGAACCTAAACTAAATTAAGAATTTATTTTAGTTGCACGTCTACTGTAACATTTGAACTTTTTTTATATACATTTTAGGCGTGAAAGGTTTAAGAAATCTCACGCAGCTGTCTGGTTGGATTTAGTATAGTTGTGTCCCCCGCCTCGAAAAGGTTTCAAAGGTTTTAGTTTAATACACCATTGCCCTCATGCTCATTAATTACACCCCACGTTTTAACGTAATTAATGGGTTGAAAATTAATGAGTTTGAAATTTACACCAGCTTCAATTCAGTACACAGTAATTATATCATTTGTCAAGGTATATAAAACGATAAGATAAGAACGCTCTATCAACTTGGAGTGTTTTAAACATGAACATATTAATTGAATCTTTGCATGGGGTAAAGTTAGAGTATTAAATAAACTGCTATTAAAGTCGTAAGGTAATTCTTAGAAATGGGTGGTGTTCGGGTGGTAACCTTAAAAGGAAATTTCTACATTCATTGACATGCTGTTGATATACCTTTGTTTTAAAGACAACCCAATTTCGTTTGTGGGTCACACAATAAGAAAGGGCTGAGTCCGTCATTCGTAAAATGTCCCGAATAAAATATTCCGTGTAATCACCCAGGTGTAAAAAGACCCAAGGGGAGTATATATGGCTCTATTTTTAGAACCTTGAAATAGACAAAGATAGGTTGCCAGGCAACGAAACATACGCCCACAGCAGCTAAATCGTCCGGGCAGTCAACAAGAGTTGTCGCATATTTTTACTTTTTTCAGTAATGAAACTTTTATAATACACTAAAATCTGATTAAGAGTAATGACTCATTAATTAATTATCAGAAAATCATTAGAATCTGTTTGGTTTTTATAAAGTTCTGCTCCATGCTAACGTTTAGTATACGAAACATTTAATATCATGGATTTAGCGGTTCAAGTTATCAAAATTCATTGAAAATCAATATACTTGTTCGTCTCAAGACCTTAAACTCTGTGTATCAATCGGATGATAACATAAGCCTCTACAGCGTCACTTCCCCGGTTGTACGTGACAAGGAGTAGGGTCGCCTGTCCAACCTCGTGGGTTTTCTCCGGGTCCTCCGGTTTCCTCCCACTGCTAAAGACCCCTACGCGCAAGCGAATTATTGAAATAAAATTAAAAACCATATGTTAGTCCCGAAATGACCTAGATTGTGTCGAGTGGACGTTAAACCCCCACCCCCTCTCTCTCTAGATCGTCACAAGATTTTCAAAGTGATCATAGGCCATAAATTTGGCAGTAATTATTGAAAATCGTTGAAAATCAATAGGATTCTTCGTCTTATGACCTCAAACACTGCGTATAAATTTAAAGTCAATCGGGTATTAACTTTAGCCTCTAGAGCGTCCACAAGATGTTTTTGAAGTGATCAAGGGCCATAACTCTGGCAGTAATAACTGGAAATCGCTGAAAATCAATAGGCTACTTCGTCTCAATACCTTAAATGCTGTGTACAAATTTAAAGTCAATCGGATATTAACTTTAGCCTCTAGAGCGTCCACAAGCTTTTTTGAAGTGATCAAGGGCCATAACTCTGGCAGTAATTACTGGAAATCGCTGAAAATCAATAACATACTTCGTCTCAATACCTTAAATACTGTGTACAAATTTAAAGTCAATCGGATATTAACTTTAGCCTCTAGAGCGTCCACAAGCTTTTTTGAAGTGATCAAGGGTCATAACTCTGGCAGTAATTATCCGAAATCGCTGCAAATCAATAGGCTTCTTCGTCCGGACGGACGGACCGACAGGGGCGACGACAATATACGACCACATTTCAATGTGGGCGTATAAAAATGGTTCTAAAAGCACATATTAATGTAATATGAATGTATGTAAAGTGATTTATATTCAATTATTGAAAAAAAATATTGTAATTTCTAATCAATTATGTTCCATGATATACGTGAACAGTTCAAATTGAACGGTAGTCGTTTACGCTCGCTTAGTGCATTCTACACGTTTTTTAAAATTATTATTTTGTCGTTTGTGAATCAGCCTTTACTAATTACTTACACATTGTGTTGTAGGATATGTTGGGTTTTTTTTTTGGGGGGGGGGGTGTTGTTCATTACAAAATGGCACCCGAAACCATAGGATACACGACTCGTGTACTGATTATAAAATGTTAATGGTGTCTTAAATATTGGATATTAGGATCCTATAGTTTCACGGCATTATAACAACATCAATATTGATTGAATTTGATCAATATTGAATTCCAATTCGTGTTTTCTTTTTAATTTCGAATATAATGGAAAATATTGAGTTAGAGACTTAGCTCCCTTAACACAAAAATTTGTAGACACACGAACTGATCAATGAAATGTTCTCTTAAAGATGGGTTCCCGCGTACAAACTGGGTGATTTAATGGTATATATGGACTAAAAACATATTCAAACTAATTAATTTGTCATAACTTTGCTTCAAATCCTTCTCAAACATTGTAATTTGAAGGAATGCCCTGCTATAAGAATTGGATCAAACCAGGTCATGTTTATGTCACGTGACTTACCTCTCTTGGAAGTCAGAGGAAAATTCATTGCGTACATAAGACGATGTCTTTTATCGCTTACTATTTATTACAAATATCGAATCCTAATTAAATTCTCGGATTATCCACTATCCGCGTCTTTTTCCGTCATTTTTTATCTGAGAAAGTGGTGACGTCTAACTCTTCATAAAGTTTATCAACTTGAACATCCAGCGCTCAATGTTCGCGTGTGACCTTTGACATCACGCGTGCAGAAATTACTAATCGTCGGGCTGTTGATTAGGGGAACCCTTACATTTTTGTCCCGTATACGCTCCATGAGTGTTTTTCGGGGAATCCAGTATTTTTCTAGTAAGATTGGATATTTCTACTTTCTATATATACCAAAATTACCATACTTTTATTGGAAATAATCACCCGATAAATACTTTTCTGGGACCCATCTTTAAACCGTTTCTATGTCGACTGCAGTTTTGTGGAGAGTAGGCTTGTGAACTAAAAGTTAACTCTGGTAAAGACGGCACTGGAAACTGATGAATTATCAAGGGAACTGCACAGGTAATATAAACGAAAGTAATAACCCAGATCAGCTTTTTAAATTGAGCAATCCCACACCCTGTTTGACGTCATTTTTATTATGAATTATTAGTATCACACTGTGTTTCATTTACATTAATTGGTGATATCACATAATGTCAATATCATCATCTCGCACTTTGAATGCCCATGCCATCCCATCATCTAATGATATAGGATAAAGCACACGACCATGGCACTTTTCTCATAAAAGTGTTGTTTTACAATTATTTTTTTTATGTTGCTGAGCGGTGGTGGTGTCGGGGTGGGAGGGGGGGGGGGGGCTCGGGGCTCTGGGCTCTGTTATCTGGGCTCTGGATCCGCCCCTGTTAAATATATCCGTGGATCTTGGACAAATTGTTAGCCAGCTTCAGATTTCCTGTAAACTAAGACATTTATTTATGGACATGGTGTTTCTTTTCTTAATCTGTTAGAGATAACAATGACCATTTTGCACCTATATCTATCTAATTAATAAATTACCACTAGTCGAATGACGTATGCCAACTGACGTGGGTGAAGTCAATAGATTTCTTAATATAACTATTGGTGTTATCCTCGTGTCGACATTTTATAGTAGGTTCGGATGTCTTCCAAAGATAAGACATTTTCATTGCGAAATTCGGGTAAATTATTACTCTTACTCTAGATGATAACGGCCCGATATTCCTTCGTGTGTGTATCTGTTCTACACTCCTTTTTTGTTTTAAATGAGCTGAATGGCACACATAAATTGATGTGGGAAAGTCAACGCAGACGTCAAATTGTGTGTTGTACGGGTATTCTGCGTTTTCTTTGTATAATTTAAACAACTGTTTCGATTCAATTGCACAATTCACAGACTTTGACCTTTATAGCTTGTTTATTCTACTTTTTACATGTTGGGAACTTTACTTCAAAGAATTCTTACACCAATATTTAGGTTTGGGCTCGACTTGGCTACATTCCACAGGATTAAAGCGTGTGTGGGGTCAGTTATAATCTGTCGCCTATATTAATATCCCAAGCACATAAAAACACCTCATATGACAACCTAGAAAAGCATAACACCGGAAGCTGATTATCAATAATAACCCCCTAGACTGTAATCTACATCGGCAAAACCGTCAATCAACTCATTTAGGATATATGACTGGTCTATTAATACGTTTATTTCTTCTTTTTCTTTAAAGTAGAGGTGGGGGGGGGGGGGCATTAGTCATGTTATAATTCATAGTCATTACAGTCATTCATATTTTCACTAATCTTGTTTTATAGATAATTTATACGTTTTATTCAAACTATTCGTGAAAACAATTGTCACAGCATCGTTTTATAAGTCATGTAGCCTGGCATATCATAGTTTTATAAGTCACTTTTCTTGTCATAGCATCGTTTTATAAGTCATGTAGCCTGGCATATCATCGTTTTATAAGTCACTTTTCTTGTCATAGCATCGTTTTATAAGTCATGTAGCCTGGCATATTATCGTTTTATAAGTTACTTTTCTTGTTATATTATCGATTTATAAGTCACTTTCCATGTTATAACATCGTTTTATGTCATGTATCTTGTCATTTGAATATAGCATGGTTTTATCAGTCATTTAATCTTTACAATATAAGTCAAAAGAGTTCTAATAGGTTATGCAAATTCTTGTCATATAAGTCAGTTGTTGTTGAATGTCGCGTGTTACTTATAAGGTAAAGAAAATATTCATAGAAAATACACATGATTATTCCCATCAATAAAACCTATATATTTATTCTCATACATGTCTCCTAGACCTATCTTTATATAGGATACACTATTTCTCAGAACTGTATCAGAACAATTGTTCTCGGAACTGTAGTTTCACAGGGACGTCTTTAAAATCTTAATACGACAAGTGCCTGGTGAAATTATTGATAATCCGGGTAGTACAACCAACACCAGAAAACATTTGTAATTAAATTTGAATAATATCGTAATTCAAACCGAGCTTAGACTCATTAAATTACTGGTAATTCCAAACACCGTTAAACTCCTTGAAAACCACTAAAACATTAGAAATGAAATGGCGTTTAACGTTTTACTTTTGTGAACTAATCGTTTACTTAGCTTAGCAGATGTATCTGAAAGGTTGCATACAATTTCAAAGCATACCTATGTGAACTCTTCGAACGAGAAGTGGTATCAGGTGTTCTACAAATATTAAGTATACCTACCACGTGTACGACACACATTACTACCTATAACTGGTTTAAACCTCGATTTCAGAATTCAGAATCCCAAATTGTAACTATATACTCAAATAGTTTGGGTTTTTTACCAACTGGGGAAGACCTAAAATGCGTTAATACCTTTCTACACCGTGAACAGAAATTCCACTATAGAAAGTGAGGAGAGGTGGGGCTTCCCGTCACAGTATATGTCTCGTATGGAAATGGAGACATATCAATGTTTTCACGTGTCTAGAAATTATATGCATATTCATATGCAAATAATAATAGCCTACCATATTAACTAATTACATTGAAGCACGCATAAATTCATGATGCAAGTGTACAAGTCAATTTATAGGATATGGAAAAATACATGTTAAGAATATATTCAGAAGTAAACTTGTTTACAGTTCATGGATATAAATAAAACATTTACTTACGAAAACAGGTCAAGTAAACAACGTGCTTTTATATTTTATAAAAATATTAGCATTAACAACTATTTGAACTATTTTATACAAAGAAATAAGTGTAACGCAACTCACCAAAGGTATACAATAAGAATCTCTGTGTTTTCTGATGAATAAAGGCGTATTGTGCTGTTTTATTGGCCTCTCCAATATTACACTACCTTCTGAGTTGGGTTCCCACATTGCGGCTGTGAATCTAATTTCATAAGACCGGAAGACCGAAACATAATCGTCACAAGTAACCTAGAAATATCTCCCGGGACTGGCGCTCTATTAAGTTTGCAAGTGTTTAGCCGAGTTTCATTTTGCCAACATACATATTACGAACTAACAACTTGCTTGTGTCTTTGTTTGCAAAGGGAATTTACGAATTGACAGCCCAATAAACATAAGGTCCCGCCCACCGTTAGTCAAACTGGAGGTATAGCACACTGATTGGTCGGCTTATGTCAATATTGACATTATTGACATACCTGGCATACCGCTGGGCTATTAGGCTATAGCAGATGATAGTAGAAAGTGCAGATTTGATACGGCCTATGGTCAAGACCTACATCACATGTGTAAAGTGTAAAATAAGAAGAGCATTGTATATAAATATAATGTTTATTCCATGGACTTAATTAGTTCAACCTGTGGTCAGGTGCATTAAATATTTTTTAAAAGTAAATTTATGATGAGTACAAAGGTATAATCATATGATACTACTTTTATATAAAAACAATACTTTCTTCACTGATAAATAATATTTGATTAAGCGATATAATCACAAGTCTGGCACCTACATGTGTGAACTTCATGATAGTTATTTTGACATGTTTTTAAAAAAAATAGTAACCTATTGTGAACACTAATTGAGTGTTATCCAGAAGCAATAGTCCACGTGGAGTCCGTATTTTACAGTCCGAAAATTTCAATTTAAGCAGTGTCAGATTAAACCTTTAGGGGCCCTAAGCACCGATTTTTTTTTATATTTCAAGGTCTAAAATAAAGGATTAACCCCTGATTATTAATATTCCTGTTGTATGTGAGGTTCTGTTTATTAGACCTGGTTCAGCTGCGCCATTTGCACCATGGTAAATCCGACACTAGAAAAAAACAACATTTTCTTTGGTGCGTATTTTAATTAATATTTAATCCAGGGCTAATTTATTCCTTAGTGTGGGGCGAGGGTCAGTCGTTGAATTATTTTCATGCAAAATTATGATGGAAATAAGTCGAATGGGTCGAAATCTATTTATGGAAACGTTTTCCTTTTCGTAAATAATTAATATCTAAATTTAAAATGAACATTTTGGTTTTATTGAAAGTTTAAAATGTGTAAAATATTTGTATCAAAATTGTCGGTACAATGGTTCACGCGTCTATCAAAATCAAACTCCTCATCGGTCTAGATAATTGCAAAGATGCGATGCAAAGGTCATTTGTCCATGGTCATCTAGGGTCACAGTCAAAGGAACTAACAAAAGGATTGCGGCAACTCCCACCGCCCCTCTGGTTAAAGGGTCACCACTATCGGGTCTGGGCTTTTCGTTATGTCTATCAAAATCTAAACACTTAGCATTCAAGATAAAAGACTCGGATACATGTCAAGTAAGTATAGATTTTATCAATATTTATTTTGTACTCAAATATTGCATCCTTATTATCCTATAGATAATAGTAAATATCATACGCAGATACGTTTTTTGACTTTCAGATTGCATCGACCATCATCTGAGGGACCTGACTTGGAACCAGAAGTTCTTAGTCTCTCATAGTTGGACAAAAGAGAAATGGTCCCAACTTACTGAAAATCGAGATCAGACTGGTGTAAAGTTCTGTATATCACCCTAACCAAACTATAATAAAGATATATATGAACCACTATCAAGACTCAATGTTGTAACTAAAGGACAAAAAATATATAATCAAAAATTGTACAGAATGACAAATAAATTGATACTCAAACTGTTATATTGAAATCTGGTGTTCCCCGTATGGTCCATTCTTATTTTCAGTGTACACACATGATACAGTGAAAACACCACAAGAATCTAAGAATCTACGCGAAAATGCTCATACCTAAATTTAAAGTAGCTAAGTCTCTAACTCAATATCGTCAAAAGTCTTCGACATTGAAAACAAGAATTATTTGTCAATTTAAATCAACATTGATGTTGTGATCTTACCGGGAAAAGATGGACTTCTGATATCCAATATTGAAGACAAAATAAACATTTTACCATTGGTACACGAATCGTGTACCATAATGCGTTTCAGCGCCATTTGTAACAAGTGACTCGAAGAACGAGGCTAGCCATATCCCACAAGTCATGACAAACGGTGACTCAATATTCATACCTGGAGAGCATGCACAATAAATATTATCACTGTAGACTGGAATAACCAGACGCTAGAGATTGTCATTCGATTGAGACGTCTGGCTTATTTCGACGGGCAGAACTGATTTGAAATTAGAGTAAAAACGGAAACGATTGAATGTAAATTAGTTTATATACATTCGAATTACATTACTATATGCGTTGCGAACCATTTGTGTCAATTTCTAGGTCCCAAATATTAGCGATTTAGCTCCTTTAATTATATAGTTAAGTGCTTTTTTTTTAAATAAATATAAATATTAAGCCGTGTTAGTATATTGTGTGGGTATAGTATTGAAAAAACACCAACCAATAGGTCTATTTCATGATGCCTTTTGTAATACGTCATATTAGATGATAAAACCAAAACTTAATTGATTTTTTTTATTATGTTTTTAAAATTGTGCTTAATTTATATTAATTTGAGAGAGTTTATTATATTTAATACAGTTTTGTTTTTTGCTCCATGCATATCAGACATAAAGGAATTAATTGGGATTGCCTAGGGTGTCGCACCGCCTGCACCGACCTCTTATAGTGTGCCTAAAGCCAGGTAATGAAATAGCACCGACCGACTGTGGTTTTAAGTAAAGAAATATTCAGGCAAACCTATGATTAAAGTTGTTTATTATGAATGGACCCACTGTATTTCGTTTTCTTCCCCGAACATGCTATAACAAAGCATCCATTTACAGGTTTTCTTAATACAGCTATGTCATTCATCGTTCTTGGTGATCACACATGCGGTCTGTGGTTTGTTTTCGCATTCCTCGTCGCCGTCTGCCCTGTTTTGCGAAATGATTTAAAACGGGGTAACGATGTTGGTACCGCACGCCCAATCCCGACCTGCTTTTAATATATTGAAAGGGAGGTGTCACGTTTCGTTCATCTTATAAAGTCCCATGAAAACGTATTCTACAATCTTGATGTATATCCACCTGCTCATGTTATGCAAATCGTCTCCATGAACAACAAATATCGTATCAACGCTAGGTTCACGGTGCAATATTTTCTTTCAATCCACGGGCCATTGTACAATACAATATTTCTATGGATAGTTGAGAAAATGCAAATTAACCCCTTTTTTCGTTTAAACTTGAAATTGAAAATACAAAATATTCCTTACCTATTTGTTTAAAGGTAATTTAATTATAGGAAAAGGAATTTTGATCTAAAGACGTCAATATGAAAACGGCGTCTTGTTTATCACCGGCACGTTTTGGCGTGGAATGGAGTTCTTGTATTTCATTCAATAGTATCGAGCTTTTAATCGACAGCAAGAAACGCAACAAAACTAAATGAAAACTATGTACTAAATGCTCTTTTTCGCAACTGGTAATTGTAGTGAAAACCCATGCAGGAAAGGAACATTTCGAAATAACAAACATGGAGAATAATGTCCATCCAGAAGCGACGCCAAGTTACTGTGCTCAATTATTACAGAATTGCAGGAATTTTCTTTATTTTCTCAGAATCAAATAAGTAAGACTTCTGATCAGATTTCAGTGCAGGAATTTCTAAAAAGGATTTACAATACTGGTGAAACTGGTTGTTCAAAGGTTGTTCTACAAAATCTCCACGGTTATTGAATGTTCAGTGTACAGTAAGTTTACTTAGATACCGCAGTTATGGCCGATGATAAAGATACTGGCCTTGAAATTAGGTGTGTGTCGTAAATTTATTTTTAAAAAAGTATTTAGACCACATAGATTTTGAATGACTCATTCATTTAAACATGTACGCAATCTTTCAACGTATATACCAATTCACTTTATCATTTATCTGTCAAGGAAAGGGATTTTAGATATCTGGATATGATAAAATGAAATTTAAATACTTGACAGTTACCCCCTTTTCATGGAATGTCATATGTGAATACGTGGAAGAAAATTTAATAAAGGGCTTTGTCGCTTAAAGATTATTATGTAAGGGCTAAATTTGTCTATTCCATGTCTTTATTTTGGCTTCAAATGTTATATACACTATTATTTAGACATGTATTCACACGAAAAGCCTACAATAATTCTCTAAACAATCGGATGGTCGAGATTTAAATGGAGCACCCGCGAAATTTAAAAAGCTAACGTTAAGACGATAATCGGTATTCGAGACTAAGTCTCGATTGTCAAGTACGTTGCTACGATACACCCGCGAGATTTAAAAGCTTAACGATAAAAAGGATACTCGCTAATCAAGGCTAATTCACGACTGTCAAGTACTGTTGCTACGATAATAAACAATATATGGTATATCTTGTCAAAACTTTAAACTCTTGTAACTTCACTCAGAATAAGGTCATTTCATTGACATTTTCAGTATATTCATTTTTTATTATCTATTATGTAGCAAGAACGGTCAGCTCTTATCTAAATCTCGCATAATGCATCTTTTAAATGACCCACACCTTAGAAAAAGAAGGTGTACTGTTAACAGCTATGATAGACATATATTATCTCCAACAAAAGTTTATCCCATTGAACTCGTTCGCCCTCTCCCTCTCCCAGAACTTTGAAAGGTGATTTACCCACACAAGTCTCATTTAATTGGAACTAGTGATATACTTTCCGACAGGAACATGTAAAGTATCGTCAATGATCTATGAAATACAATAGAAACGACTTCTCGGCGGGGAACGCTTACGGTTAGGAATCGAATCAATGAATAACATTGTACTTGTAGGGGGAAATTACCTGAACAATTTGTTCTGTCCATGAATGGATTAATACCTCAAGATATCGCCCATTCAACCTCGCCGTAAAACAGAAGAAGAACACCGTTTTGAATAAAAGTTTTACAACGTCTTACAGCTTAGTTCTGTGGCTATACATGTTTACCAGTAAGTTGCTAACAGTGGCGGATCTAGAAGCTGTGAATGTGAATGTGAATGAAGGGGGGGGGGCAGTTCCAAATCTAGAAATCTAGGGCACTATCCACAATCCCACGCCATATCGCCCCGGTAGATGGTGTTGCCTATAGTTGTTCGCCGATTGTTATCTCGCCGGAAAGAAGTTGTATTCAAGTTCACATAAAGTTCATGTAATATTATTATTGTTGTTTATTTTATTATATTTTTTGGTAATCTTAGGTGCGCTTATTTGATCTCATGGAGGCGGGAGCCATCAACCACCCCTCCCTCCTTAAATCCGTGCCTGGTTGTCAACTATTCGTTATGCCCATGGAATGGATTGATACCTCAAGATGTATCGCTTCCAGCTTGGTTCTTTGACTCTAGGTTGCTAACGGTCATTATATAATGGCTTTAAATAGATATTAACCGTATCTTCAAATTATTATGTCTTCAGGTATCCGCCCACCATACTTATGTTACCGTTTTAATAATTATCGACATGAAATCAAGTCTTTATCATTGATCGACTGTTGAGCCATTAATAACCACATGCAAAGATAATTTTAGCCATACTTCATCTGACTTTATGTTTAGATCGACTGGAAGTCTGCATTTGTAAACTAGTGGATGGACAATAATCCTTGAGCAGGGTCCGTTAGAGGGGGTGACAGATGGAAAACTTGTCCAGGTGACTGGTGCCTAGAGTGGCCCGGAGTAATGTTTTAAAATTGTTGGTATAGATTAATACAAAATAAATATACTGTTACTTAATCGTGAAGTAGAAGAAAACCGGTGACTTCTCAATGTGTGTACCTAGTGGCGTGGATAGGATTCGAATCGGATTCTGTCAGTCCACTTTTTGGGGAAAATTTATGTATTTAAAACTATTAACTACCTGCCCGGGCCTTACGCCGTGGGGGACCCGGTCCGTCCTCGTTTTGTTTGAGGCTCTCGCCACCGTCAGGCTATCCGGGCCCCGGCAGGTAATCGTTGCCTGGTCTGGGCCAGTAGAATGCTACAATGATCGTGAGCGCGCCAGATTCGCGCTCTGTGGACTGGTATCGGATGATTAAAAACGAAACTGAAAGAGAAGCTTTTACTTTCGTCTTCGTTTCGTTGGGTGCTAAAAATCGCGATGTTTTCCAATATTTTTGCCACATGTGGACCTTTTGCCGACCACTGACATCGTGATTCGTCACTAGTAATATGTCCCGGAGAAGCTTATTATCTGTTCTGTCTGGCAATTTTAAGCAGGTCTTAATGGCTTACCACGTACTGTTTGATGAAGCTATTGATGTGTATACACGGAAACTTCCGTCTGAAACCAGTTCAATATGATTTGGGGAATTGAACAAAAATATAAAAAAATAGTTTATGTGATGAAAACATTTTCTTTTTGATATTATTTGGCATGTTTTCTATGTTTCAATTTGTTTGCCTACTTAAAATTTCCTGTCAAAATCGTGTACATCTGATTATTATTACATCAGTAAAACTTAAACGTAGTACATGACGTTTTTGGTATGTCATATTATGTTGTGTTAAATCTCAGTTTCTGTATTTTAGCAAAGTAACCTCCAGTAACTCCAGATATACGCCAAAAGGACACTAGAGACCTTGTATCTTTAAAAAAAATTCTATCCACCCC